GCGGCCGCTACGGCCGCTGGCGCAAGCACGGCGCCTTCATCCTGGCCACCACCGGCCTCTCCGTGGCCATCTGGCTGGCGTGGACCGTCATGTACCTCTATGGGAACCAGCGCGCCGGCCACAAGCCCGGCTGGGATGACCCCACGTTGGCCATCGCGCTGGTCAGCAACGCCTGCGCCTTCCTCCTGCTCTACGTCATCCCCGAGGTGACGCACGTGACGCGGCGCAGCCCCGAGCAGGCCTTCGAGGACGACGGCTACCCCACGCGCGGGGTGGGCTACGAGACCATCCTCAAGGAGCAGAAGTCCCAGAGCATGTTCGTGGAGAACAAAGCCTTCTCCATGGATGAGCCCTCCTTCGGTGCGTGCTGGGGCTCACGGGGACCCTCCTACCCCACAGTGGGGCTGCTGGTGGGCACCAGGGATCCTCATCAGGGACCCTCTCACACCATGGCAGGGCTGCTGGCGGACACTGGGGCTCACCAGGGGCCCTCTTGCCCCGTGGTGGAGCTGCCAACAGGCACCAGGGACCCTCACTCATGGGGACCCTCAGGGATGTCCCCACCGGGGGTGGCAGCAGTGGGTGGGTGATGAGACGTCTGGCAGTGACCTGCCAGGGACTGACGCCTGTTGTGGTTCCCGAGAACTGGCCGGGCTGGGCCTACCAGTTTGGGCTGAGCCCAGCAGGCGCTGGGTGCTCCCTCCCCAGCGTGGGGTGCCCGCGGCTCCCGGCCCTCTGCCCCGGGCAGACACTGCACTCGTGAGACCCTACAATAACATGGGGTGGTGACAGTCACCTCAGTGGGCATCACGGGCGGGCACCAGGTGTCTGTACCCCACAGGGCAGGGAGGGTCCCCCCGAGCAGCACCTGCACCCACGAGACCCTACAATAACAAACCGCAGCCATGCAGGGGCTGCGCCTGGAGCGCAGAGATGCCAACCCTGGGGACAGGAGTGTCCCTGGGAAAGGCACAGAGCTGCTGAGTCAGCTCGTTAAACCTGCTAACGAGGTACAGGGAGCCCCGGTGAGGGGGGTGGCTCCGTGGTGACCGTCCCTGTGTCTCAGCAGCCAAGAAACCGGTGTCCCCGTACAGCGGCTACAACGGGCAGCTGCTGACCAGCGTGTACCAGCCCACCGAGATGGCTCTGATGCA